CCCCAAAACCCCAAAACCCCAAAACCCCAAAACCCCAAAACCCCTGATTGGTTTATATTTATTGAAAATACAACTTCAAATAATGAATTCCGAAGTTGATCACCTTAGCCTTAGCAGTCTTGATGAAGAGTTCTACAAAGAACTAGATAATGAAATAATTGTAAATTTATTTGCTTCCTAAATAAATTAAGAGTTTTTGATCTAACAAATTATTCAGGAAATGGAACATGGTAAAGAAAAACTAAAAATTGTCCAAAAATTCAGCTTGAACTCACCTAGTAATTCTTTAATTTCCTTTATGCTTCTAATCTTCCTTTTAGCCATTAAGAAGAACGAAGGGTCATTATACAGAGAAAAACAACTCATTGATCACATTATCAGCCTAAAAGATACTATTAAATAAACTAAAACAAGATAATCATACTCTACGAGACAAAATGAAGAACATAAAAAGGCAAAATAAAGACATTATTGAGAAATACAAAGTATTTCTTCATCTCATCTTTAGAAAGATGTTAACTTTGAAATGGAGCTTGACTTCAAAGACAAGAATACAAGGTAAGCATACTTTGATTTCTTGATTTATAGTCTCCATGAAATGTTCATCAAAGAACATCAGAAAGTGCTAGATCAGTTCAATACCAAAAGAGATGAGATTATTCGCAAAAATAAGGCTATTAAGAAGCTGGTGAATATCCTTGTCAGTCAAGAAACCTCCCTTTCTGAAGCATACATTAACGCTAACACTGCTATTGGAGAAACAATTTCCACATTTAGATCTCAAGCTTTACCTAAGAAGAAGGGATTACAGGTACTTTTAACTTTAAAATTTAACCTTTTTAAGAAATTTATAATGGCTAATACCTATTATAGGAGAAAATACAAATCGACCTTACCACACAAAGTACTCTTTAGGCCTTAATTCATAGCCCACAGGTTTATCAGAGATGTAGAAGTGAATGTAGATATTCCTGGACTCAACAAAGCGACTGCTTACGGTGAAGACTGTAGCCAGGCGCTAAAATATATGGAGTTTGAATTCGATACTCTCAAACATCTCAGTGAGACCTTAATGGACGATTTCAGTACAGCCACTTTCCAAAAGAAAAGTTTACAGAAATAAGGTAATACCCCAACTATAATATTTTTGGATTCCTTCCTCAAATTTTCCCAATAGTTCAGAGAGATGAAGTGAGATTATGAAGCTCAAATAAAGGAAAAGAATGCGAAGATCAAAGCCCTCAAGAAGCAAGTCAGAGATATCCTTATTGCGAAGGAAAAGGAGTTTAGAAATCTCAAGAAATGAGTCAACTCCGAGTTTGATATAAAAGATATCATCATCCAGAGACATCAGGAATATAGCAAAATCCTGATGAAGGAGCTGGTATTTTCCAAAAATATTATTAAATAACCCCAAACTACTCAGCACAGCCAGCAATTTCTTAAATTACCAAGCTGAAAATCTTGGTGAGAGGGTTAAGAAATTGCCAGAGAAGTATAGATATCCTGCTGAGCTAAATCGCAAAGCAAGATCACCTGAAGGGAGAGTTGTTCCTCTCAAGTTGAATAAGATAAAGCGAAGTGTAAATTTCTTCAGCATTTCTCCAAGATCAAGTAAAGTCTATCTTAAACATCTCTCTAGGGAATCAGAACTCCAGTGCTGGAACTTCAACTACAAACCTTCAGGTGCGATCTTATCGAGAAAACAAGCAACCAATGATGAATTTCCGGCCTCCTAATTTCACCGCCAGAAAATTAATGAAATAAAAAAATATTCAATAGTTTCTTAAAAATTGGGGTTTTGGGGTTTTGGGGTTTTGGGG